ACAAGATCGAGAGAGAGAGAGAGAGAGAGAGAGAGAGAGAGAGAGAGAGAGAGAGAGAGAGAGAGAGAGAGAGGTTGAGCGATACAAGATTGGTTTACTACGTACCTGCTGCGCTGGAGATACCGCTACAGCGAGAGAGAGAGAAAGAGAGGGAGAGAGAGAGATGAGCGATACAAGTTTGGCTGTTACATACCTGTGAAGTGCAGTCCCGTGAAGAAGAAGAAGAAGGCCATAGCCGCGGAGCTTGACGACGGAGTGACGAAGGAGGGAGAGAGAGTGGACAGAGGGAGAGACTGAGAAGGGAGAGAGAAGCCATAGCCGAGGAGAGGAAGAGAGAGAGACGATCGAAAAAAAAAAAAAAAAAAAAGACAGTTAAGGTTAAGAAGGAAGAGGCGGAGGTGGAGAGAAGGAAGGTGAAGGGTGGCGACGAAGGTGAAGCCGGCCGCCATAGCCGAGAAGTTGACCGGAGGCGTTGACCAGGGTTGACTGGCGTTGATTGGGCATTGACCGGAGTTGAGCGGGGGTTGACCGGGGGTTGACTGCGTTGACCGCGCGTTGACCAAGATTTTGACCAAGCTGGAGCCTATCCCTCGCCCTATGGATGAGCACACACCCTGTGGTACTTGCTGAGTCAAGTCTGTTTGTCTCTTCTTTCTGCATCGAGTCTCTTCTGTCTAGGTGTAGGAACTCTGTGGATGAAGGATAGGGCCTTGTTGACCAAACCCCTGCCGGACTAAGTAGGGCTAAAGACCGTGTCTGACGACTCGACTGTCCCGTAGGCCTAACCCTCCCAAGGACCGGTACAGACCGACGGGCTGCTCGGTGTGGCACGGTAGGCCCGAAAGGCTGAGTTGTGGGCTGCGCAACAGGCCTGCTGATCGCGTCGTCCTGTTTGCGATATTAAATAATTCCTGAGGAGTTACGGGGGATCTCCTTAAATGCCTTTTGATCAGCAACAGGTCTAGTAGTGACAGCCTTAGAATAGGTCTAGGTTAAAGACCCTAGTTGATAGGATCCCTGTCCGGATTCTGTGAGTCTTTAGATTGAGTCAGTCAGTTTGTCAGTCAGGGGTTAGAGTCTAAGTGGTGAGGTTTGGAACCGCTAATCCGATTGTGCACTAATCACCATGGTTGATACCCGTAGTGGGAAGAGCACTAGCCCCTATACCCAGGCCCAACAGGAGCAGATGACCGCTCTAGTGAAAGAGAATAGAGAGAGGAAAGAGCTCTTGAAGCAAGCGAATTTAAAAGCAATCGCAGAGGAGCAAGCGGCGAAGATGAAGAAACTGGAGGAGGAGATGGAGGAGAAGAAAAAGGTTGTCGAGGAAGAAGCGGCAACAGAAGCAGAGGAGGAGAGAAAACTCAGGGAAGCAAAAGGGGAGAGTAGTGGCACGAAGAATGAGGATGCACAGATGGAGAAGAAGATCAGTGAGTGGCTCGCTAATTTATCGTTTGGGGGAAGATGAGAAGGCCCAGTTGTACGTGCCACAGGAGGAAGAGGTGTTTGCCAGGGCACTAGCAACAATCGAGGACCCCCTGGAACGACAAGAGGCAGAGGAAGAGAAGAAGTTGGAGTGGAAGTTGAGGATGAAGAGGGAAAAGAAGAGAAGAATGGAGGAAGTTAATCGGTTGACCACAGAGGTGGAGAAAGTGAGGGTCTGTCGACAAGAAGTGCAAGCACAGACAGATGTCTCGGCCAAGATGGACAAGATGTTGGGATACTTGGAGGTATTGAGTGAGGCTTGGCAAGAAGAGCGCCAAGCCAACTGGGATCACGATGTGGCCCTGAGTGCCATGCGGTCAGGATTCCGAGATTTTGCGCGCGACGTGGTTACCCACGTTGGGCCCGAAGTTAAGCGGTTAAGAGAGAATGTGCGGAAGTTTTGTGAAGGCGCCATTGAGAGTGCCAAAGCAATAGCCATCGTTGAGAGTGAGGCCAAACCCCACAAGGACCCCATTAAGCTTAAATTCCCTGATGCATATGGCGGGAAGAAGGAGGAAAATTTTGATAATTGGGAGGCTAGCGTCAACATCTACGTGTACTTCCAACAAATTTTAACTGAGGAGCAAGTCCTCATAGCCTTCCAGGCCCTCAAGGATGAAGCGGCCAGTTTTGCCAGGTCCCTTGCGCGCGCAGCTGGTTGTGAAAACAACCTGGTTGCATACTCCAAGATCACCCCCCTCCCTCATTTCTTTAAGCTCCTGAGGGAGTGATTTGCTGACCCCACGAGAGGCATTAGGGCCTCTGACAAGTTACAGACCATCCACTCGCGACAGTGGAGGAGTGCAAGAGCACTCAAGGGGGTCATGGATGACTTGGTAGCCGTTCCGGACCATGGGGTCACTGAGCCCCAGATGGTCCAGTTATTTTATCGTGCCATGCCAGAGCCCTTGAGAGGGCATTTCTTTGATAAGTCTCAACAGGCCGACATCACATATGATGTGCTGAGTAGAGAGGTGGTCCTGTTTGCGTCAAAGTCCATATCAGTATCCACTTTCTGGCATAAGGACTTGGATAAGGGGAAGAAGTGGAAAGGGCGTACCATCTCCGGCCAAGTCAGGGCCAAGGATCACATGATCCTTACTTTAGAAGAAGGTGGTACTGATGAAGTCCCCTACAGTGAGATCGAGTGGGGGTTAGAGGAGGAGGACAGCAGCGTGGGGCAAGGGAGGTCCTATGCAGCTATCGCGGCTGGGGGGAGGCCGCAAGGTCGAGGAGCAGGCCAGGGCCAAAGGGGCCATGCCACGGGAGGCCGAGGACCAGGCACGCAGGGGGTTGGCGGAGAAGGGAACCGCCAAGTGGGAGCAGGGGTCAAGGTCCCCCGTTGAATCGTTAGGGTTCTAGTCGGTCCCCCCAGTGACGAGGTGGGAGGCCACCTCAACAGTCAGGAGGATGGCACCCAGGCTTGCCACAAGGCAGGCCATGGGAAGATTTGGGCTTGGACCAGCGCATATGGCAAGAACGCGTGGACCTGGGTCAGTGCGTGTTTTGTGGTGACCCGGCCCATGTTATCAAATTTTGTCCTAAGTATAGACAGGCCCAATGGGCTGCCCAACAGTCAAAAGGCAGCCGCCAGTAGGGGTCGCAACTGCCCCTACTTCAAGGCCATGTGGGGAAGCGACCACGCGCGAACAGGTAACTCCCACACCACATGAGCCTATGGCAGAGGTTGCAGGCCAGTGCCTAGCTAGCTGTCCAGAGACTGCTTGTGTTAGCGTCTCTCTAGGCACTTCCCTCACAGGCGTGGCAGAAGAGTTGAAGGAGAGGATACTAGCCTAGGCCAAAATGAAGAAGGAAAGTAAGGGACAACTAATTTTAGTTGATGTGGAAGTTTTAAGGAGTAGAGTAGGGGCCCTTATAGATTCAAGGGTTACCCGTAGTTATATTAGCCGTAGAGCGCTGAAGAAGCTGAGGCTAGGATTGAAAGTCCAAAGGTTGGCAGACCCCATAGTCAGTGTCCTCGCAGACAACCGCACTATGCGTGTTGAGGACTACGTAGAGGGAGTCCAGGCGTATTTTTGCCTAGAGAAAAATGGGAAGGTGGAGAAAGTTCTTCATTCCCTGACTCTCCTCATGCAAGACGACCTCCCTTTTGACATAGTGTTAGGAATGGATTGGGGAGAGGCAGCAGGGGCCACACTCCACTTGAGGGAGCATGAGTGTAGGCTCCCTTGTCCGTCAAGAGAGGTTAAGACTGCCCGCCTATTTCATGTGTCAGGTGTATACAACACTCTGGCACATTGTTGTCTCATGCTCCCGCGTTCGCGCGATTAGTAAAGAAGGAGCAACTGGAGGACCAGGTCTTTGTAGTATATGTCAGACCTGTCACTGAGCCTAAGGAAGGGGATAGTTCCACGGATCCAACCATTTCCAAGCTGCCGGAGGAGTTCAAAGATTTAACTGAGTCGCCGACAGGAGTGGTGCTGCGATCAATCCAGCACTGAATAGAAATAGAGTCTGGCAATAGAACTCCTAAGGGAGCAGTCTATAGGATGTCCCCTAGAGAATTAGAGGAGCTGCGCAAGCAGTTGGATGAGCTCCTGGAGAAAGGTTGGATTAGGCCCAGTTCGTCTCCTATCGGAGCACCAGTTTTGTTTGTCCCCAAGAAGGAGGGAGAGTTGCGTATGTGCATAGACTATAGGGGTTTGAATGCCATCACAGTGAAGAATGTTGAGCTGCTGCCCAAGATAGACGTTCTGTTAGATCGGGTGCAGGGCTGCAAATACTTTTTAAAGATAGATTTAAAGTCCGGGTTTCATCAGATAGAGGTCCATCCTGATAATCAGTACAAGACTGCGTTCCGGACTCGTTGAGGGCATTATGAGTTCATAGTGATGCCCTTTGGACTGACCAATGCGTTCAGCGATGTATGAATAACCTGTTTAGGGCTTGGTTAGACACATTCGTCATAGTGTATTTAAACGACATCTTAGTTTTCAGTAGGACCCTCCAAGAGCACCAGGGTCATTTGAGGTAGGTCATCGGAGAAGCTCAGAGAAGCTAACTTCAAGATCAATGCAAAGAAGTGCGAGTGGGCCAAGACACAAGTTCTGTACTTGGGCCACGTCTTAGACGGAGATGACATTAAGCCTGAGGACCGCAAAATAGCGGCAATTAGAGATTGGTCGACGCCCCGCACACTGACAGAGTTGCGGTCGTTTCTAGGCCTAGCTAATTACTACAAAAAGTTCGTAAGGAACTTTTCAACTATCGCCGCTTCCCTTCGCCGGCTGCTAAAGAAAGAGGCAATCTGGCAATGGGACAAAGACTGTATGTCTGCGCTAAAGAAGTTAAAGCGCGCGTTGATAGAATATCCTGTCCTCAAAGTAGCAAATTCGTCCTAACCATTTGCCATCACCACGGACATGAGTCAGTATGGAATAGGCGCCGTGTTGCAGCAGGACGACGGCAATGGCTATAGACTCGTAGAGTTCATGTCAGCGAGGATGCCTTCAAAGAAAGTAGCCACCTCGACGTATGAGAGAGAACTCGTCGCTCTCAGGAAGGCCTTAGAGCATTGGAAACATTACCTGCTTGGGAGGCACTTCAAAGTATACTCAGACCACGAAACTCTTAGATGGTTAAAGACCCAGGCCAAAATGACACCTAAGTTGACTAGGTGAGCCGCTGAGATAGACCAATACGACTTTGAGCTCAAGCCGGTCAAAGGCAAGTACAACGTAGTTGCGGATGCTCTGAGTAGGAGATTAGACTTCTTTGGAGCCATAGTGCACTATCTAGACATAGGGAAGGACCTGCAAGAAAAAGTAAGACAAGCATATGCGCAGGATCCTATCTATAACGGCCTCCTCAAGAGAGTTAAGGAGGCCCCAGAGACTGAACCACACTACCGCACTACAGAAGGATTGTTGTTTGAGAAGATTGATGTAGTAGACCGCCTGTGCGTCCCCAATAGTGAGGAGATCCGTAGCCTAATCCTAGGGGAATGCCATGACACAGAGGGACACTACGGTTGGAAGAAGACTTCAGCCAATCTGATGTGTGCGTATACCTGGCCGGGAATGAAAGCTGACTGCATAGAGTATGTTGCAGTTCCAAAGTTCGCCAGAGGAACAAGACCACTACGTGTGCCCCTCTTGGTCTTCTCAGACCCTTGCCTATCCCAAACCAACCTGGAGATTCAGTCTCCATTGACTTCATGGACGCAGGTGTCAAGAGTAGGCACTGCAAAAGCCAAGTCATGGTCATAGTTGATAGATTCAGTAAATATGCAGTTTTTGTTCCTTTGCCTGCAGAGGCACGTACTGAGTTAGTAATTCTGAAGTTTTTCGATTTTTGGGTCAGTGATCACAGGGTTCCATTGTCTATTGTTAGTGATAGAGACACCCGCTTCACCAGCCAGAACTGGCAGGAACTAATGAAAGTCTATGGGTCAAAGTTGCTAATGTCATTTGGCCGTCATCCAGAGACTAACGGTCAGACAGAACAGATTAAGAAGATCCTGCAGCAAGTTATGCGCATGTATATTAGACCAGATCAAGTCAATTGGGACGTGATGTTGCCCAAGGTAGCCAGCGGATACAATAACAGCATGCATTTGTCTACCTGTCGCACTCCTAACGAGTTGCACAAGTCCTTTAGACCCTGCAGACCGTTTGAGGGACTTACCCGGGATCAGATTCACAGGCTACCGCCCGGAACCAGGGAGTTTGTGATACAGCACGAGAGAGAGCTAGGCACAGTTGTTGAAAACCTCAGGAAAGTCCAGCATTGAATGATAGAACAGGCAAACAAGCACCGTGCCCGTCTCAATTTCAAGTAGGCAACTTAGTCTGGGTCAAGTCCAAAGAGTTTGCTCCTGAGGAGAACATTTCGCAGGAGTTACTGCCAACGTATAGAGGACCGTGGCCAGTTCTAGAAGTCAAGGGCGGAGAGGATGGACCGTCCTACACAATAGAGATCCCAGCACACCTCCACACCTATCCTGTATCCCATGCATCAAAGCTATAATTGTCGTGTGTCACAAGCCAACAGTTCCCTTCAAGAAGATCCATGATCCCTCCGGATATGGATGGAAGATACGACATTGACGGCATTGTAGATGAAGATGTGTTTAGGACAGGAGGTAGAGGTCGTCCACAATAACAGTACAAAGTCCGATTTGCATATCAGGAACCGGAAGACGACCGCTGGTTTACTAGAATAGAACTTCTAGAGACAGCTCCCGAACAGAACTTCTAGAGACAGCTCCCGACATAGTCAGATCCTATGAGCGTGATAAGAAGGGCAAAGGTCCTGCCTTGGACTGAAATATTCTCGGAGGACCTCGACCTCGAATTTAGGACGGCAGGAGTGAAACGGTTTTCACCTTTTTGCAGTAGCAGATGCGGATCCCAGGGCTCGATCCCTAGACCTTACCCTACCGTGTACAGTACCTGTGTAGACCCCGAGAGTTGAACCCGTGACCTGTGTATTCGTAAGCAACTGGTAGGCTGTCATAGGTCCGCAGGTTGTAGGGGTTCGATCTGTAGGTCTGTCGAATAGAAGTCTTAGTGAAGTCTAGAAGTCTTAGCTGTAGTCTTCTAGAAGGTCGGCAAGTGGGCAAGTGGGCAAGTGGTGAGCCATGTGGTGGACTAACTGCAGTACAATTGCAGTACGACCTCGGTAGGTTAGCAGTGAGTCCCCAAGCAGTCAGCGGTGCAGTCCAGTCAGTCCCAGTCCAGTCCAGCAAGTACCATGAGGGACTGTGTGCACCATGGGCCGATGGAAAAGGGCAGACCAAAGAGCCGCAGAAGTATAAATCAAGAGG